CTTTTACTTCTTTTGATAATTGTCATTTTCACAAATTGCAGTTATAAGGTGTTTTGGTTTGTAACTTTTCATGGTGTGATAACATGAATTTTCAGGACTCGACTTAATGGAAAATATAATGGTGCCACAGACAAGTGTACTTACATGATCTTGATGTGTTCCACTTAACTTTTGCAGAACTTTATGTTTTGTAGGATGAGAAAAAGTATCTTTTGTGGTTGTTCATGACAATATTGTTCTTGGTAGGGGCCTGGCACAATTTTACACTAAATAATACCAGAAAATAGGAAAATGGTCGATTTGGAGATGAATAGTCTAAATGGGTACGACACTAAAAAAATAATTCACGCGAAAATTACAACCAATGACTTTGGGGATTGTACAGACTACCCAATAACTAATAAAAACAAAACTATCCATTGACAAAGTTGCATAAATAGGCTCACTAAATCACATATTTGAGCAGAATATTGCTATTTGATTATTTAATAAGCATTTTATTTATGCAATCAAAAGTTACTAATTATATATATTTATTATTTACAATTTTCTCAAAAAGTTCACCTGCACAACTATTCTTTTGGGTTAAAAATAAGATAATTAGACAAAAAAGTATATATATATATATATAGTTCTCTTTATTTCATTTTCTTTCTCACCCTTCTTTCTTTTAGGGACTTCTAACAACTGACCATCATATACAGTATTAGGTATTGAGGTGTCATGATTTGTACAATCTGACACTACATGTATAATCTTTTGGTCTCATATATGATATATATTTATATACTCAATGCCATGCTATATGTGTATAAATTTGGCATATTTTTTCGCTGCCGTGGCTGGAATAATTGCTTTCCAAATATAGAAAGCTGATGTTGCAAAGGCATTTTATTACTTGAGGATAAGTCTTTGTAAAGGCAAACATGTACTTTAAGTTTTATGCATGCACATATATATAAACGTACATATATATTTATAGACATTGTTTTACTAATTAACTTGTGCAGCTTTGCTATGGAGTCATCGGATGACTTGACTTATGAAGTCATCTATACTTATTCACCAATAGTGTATTGACACGTGTCCTACAATAAATACAATTTGGACAGTTGTCAATACACTAAGTGGTGGATGGTTCCATAGAATTTTTGTTAACTTGTGGTACTATACTCTTAAGTCTTAACATATATCTAGTGTCAATATGTAATTTCGATCCTATACAGAGTGGGAAGTTATTAACATTGGATCAGACGTACTTTCTTACACACATTTATGTGTATGTGTATAAGTGTATTGATCTAATGGTAATAAATCTCACTACTCATACATGTAGGAAAAACCAACCATGTCAATCCAAATATTGTATATGCATATATATACTATTCCATTTTGCTCATAAAACCTTTTA